CGTTCCCGCCGCCGCCGCTCGGATTACCCTGCCCTCCACCTGGGAACAAGCGAACGCACAAACGTTGGCGTCGATGCCAATTAAGATTTAAATCCCAGACCAGCCGGAAGTCCCGCGAAAGTCGTCGGGACAATCCGCCGCCGGCGGGTTTATATAAATATTAACACGATTCCCCCCCTTCCTCCTCTCTTTTTGGTAAATGTGTTACACTTCTTATTGATGATGTTATATTTCGTAAATAAAATCGGCAATTTTTATTTTCGACAACGATGATAAGCGTTCGTTTTTGTTGGGATATTTATTCAAGCAAAACTCTATACTGTCGTATTTCTGGATAAGCAATGAAATTGAAAAGAAATGCAAGAATTTAGATTTTACATACATTGAACAAAGTGATTATATTCGAGTACGCAAGAATGTTGGATGTAAAGACGAGATTTTACAAGAAATATCGCGACTGTCGGTGCAACAACTATCGCCGTTCGTACTTTCTTCAGCAAATTCGCATGATACGCGTGCGATCCGACTGATTGATGCCGGTGATAGTCGGGAATAAGGCGCGTATATGCATATTTTATACATCCGAGTCTCCGAGCATGTATGAAAACGCGATCTTTTAGAATTAGAAGTATCGCTCGCGAAAGGTCACGACGCGTGATTGCCAGATCTCAATTATCCGTGCGTCAGGCACCGAAAGGAAGTGACAATCACGCCTGCCACACTTTGTTGCGGCGAAAAGCTCGCATAGGTAGAAATTCCTATTTCGCGCAACACCGCCTTTATATCTTTCGTGCACGAAATAGCGAGAGATCCCGGCGCGACTAAACGCCGCGGCGGCGCGCGCGCGCGATGCGGCGATACGGCAAAAATGATAGCCGAGTGCGAAAGGTTAATAGCAACGTATAATTTTCGTTTCAACGTGAAACGTTGAATGGCGTGAAACAGTTCCGATTCGATACCGCGGGACTAAAGCGTTCCTAATTAACACGACACGGCATGTTCGATCCAACAAAGATGTGCATAATAAATCGTCACGAATAATCGTCACGAAACATGCGCGCGGCCGTAGCTAAAAATCATATTACGTAATACTTGCACCTTTTCCGGCCTTTTCGCGCGCAATTGCAGAAGGCCGAGAGTTGTGAGGAACAAAAAATATAAGTGCCGGATTATTAATTTCAAAATACAATTTTACTTTCTTGAACAGACAACGCAAATTATTAACGCGTCGAATAAAATTAATATAAAATTGAAACGTTCAATTAGTATATAAAATTAATATGAAAATTAACGTCCAAAAAGAGCGGAGGAAAATTATTCGACGTGCGTGTATATACGGAGAAAAAAAAATTCGCACGAAAAATATCAGATATTTCTCGGCGACTGCGAAACACGGCGATTTTCTTTCAAGCTCGTGAATTAATGGTCGCGTCACGAAAAACATCAGAATAATAGAGCCGGACACTAATAAATTATTAAATGTCGTAAAAACGTACACGTTTTTTCGGGTTTTCGTCGTGGCGGTAATGCCGTCGGCGGGGTTATTTTCCCTCTTACCTGAAGGTGCTAGGAACTCGCCAGGACTGCCGCCGGTGGGCGCAGGAGGCCCTTGCCCGGGGGGCCCCGTGAGAAATTCCGGAGGGCCGCCCCCCGCGCCCGGAGGTGGATACTCCCCTGCCACCGCCACTGCCGCTGCCATGCCCGCTAAACTGGCCGGGTCCAGGCCTGTCAGAAACAGATTACGTACTGTTCTCAGAGGGGATCGTATCCGCCCGGCCATCTCCGAAACCGGCTGTCATAATTATCGCGGGGGCCTCTCCCATTCCTCTCTCCTCTCTCTCTCTCTCTCTTTTACCTACTTGATCCGAGGTTTATTATAATTACGCGAGATTCTGGGACTATAGACTCTAACACTCGGGGGGCCCCGGCGTAAATCGGCCCGTTTTTGCTCCGGAGTCGAACGCTTAGGCGAAACGCGGCAGAGTTTAGCGCGCGGGAGCGCTTATATTTAATATCACATCCGAGTAGAAAATAATTTTACGATCAACAACAAAGAAAACCGAAAACTCTCGCCGAGAGAAAACATGTCCTGAGAAACGAAAGATTTCGCGAGTACACATCTTAATTAATTAATAAGATCTCACAACACACAAAGTGAACTTAGGCGAAATGATGTCGAAACGTCTTCGAAACTAGAGTTCGTTCGGTATTATCAAAGACATCGCCAAAGAAGCGACAAGATAACAATTGCGCGAGAATAAAGACGGTATAAAACTCACCTGGATTTCCCGTGCCGGCGAAATGCGGCCCGTGGGGATGCGGGGGCGGATGCGCGCCGAAGAACTCGTGGTGGAAAGCCACGGGGCCGCCGTAGCCGAATTCGAATTTGTCGGGGCCGAAGTAGGGAAAACCGGGCGGCGGTCCGTCCTCGCCGCCGAGAGCGCCCGGGTTCAGGTTCAGCGGGAAGCCGCGCATCTTGCGCGAGCCCCCGAAGAAGGGGTTCCTGCCCATCGACGTAAGCTGCTTCAGCCTGCGCTCCTTGCTCCTCTTGTTCTGAAACCAGACCTGTAACAGGCCGCGCAGGACCGGCCGCCTTTAATCGTTGAATTATTTATAACGACGCGGATCGCTCCCCCTGCATGCTATCTTTCAATTTTGCGTCTAGTCGCCTTGTAATTACAACAACTCGCTCAAGCAGGTATTAATCACGGATCCTTCAAAATTGTTAAAAAAATATCACGGCACTTATTGCCTTTCCCTGAACATTAAGGAATTTTAATTCCGGGAGAGCGTCTCTCTCTCTCTCTCTTTCTGTGTGTTACATATTTTATTCTATTTTAGTCTTCTCTTTATGTATCGTGACGCACACGTGAAGGCAAATAGACATGTTTTTTTTTATTGACACTGATGCTCGGCACTTTTAGTTCCGCACGCTGCGTTGTGAGAAAAAAATACGCGATGAAATGAAACAGGAGTTAAATCGCATTATTCGAAGAGAAAAACGTTGCCTGCTTCTCGGCGGTAACGGGAAAGTAGTTTTTTCTCACCTGTATGACTCTCATGGGTAGACCGGTCTCCTTCGCCAGTTGTTCTCTGATGTGTCTGGTGGGTTTTGGAGTCGACGAGAAAGCCGTCTTCAGGATCTCCAGTTGCTTCGCCTTTATCGTGGTCCGAGGACCGCGTCGTTTCGAGCCGGCGCCCCCGTCGCCGCTGCCACCGCCGGCGCCGCCGTCCGGACTCTTGTTCTCCGTCTGGCTGTCCCTCGTCTCGGGATCGCCATCCAGGGAACCTTTAACCGATCGAAGCCGAATTGCCCCATCACAATCATAACCAACCACCGCAACCACCACCAATTACTATCACCGCCTATTTCGTGAGACTCGCCGGACGACGACGTAGCGACATCAGTTGGTTTTGCGAAAAGCCCGTTTCTGCCGCGCGCGGTAAAGGAACGGGCAAATTTGGATTTAAGTGATTTTAAGCACAATATGCTAATAAGAAAGGGAAAACGTTCAATAATGCAGAGATACGAGATTTTTTTTAGATATAACTCAGTTCTGTCTTCTACAACTTCAAAATCGAGTCGCACCTCCATATTTGACATTTATAAATGTCTTAAATTTTTGATGACAGAAACATAAATTCGAAAAAAGATCCACTTTTTGGCGCAACTTTGTTTCGATTTTTGTATCTGCGTCATAATTAAAATTTGTTATTTGTAATTTTTCATATTGTACGTTACTGTAAAGAACTACTTATTCAAATATTACACACTTTTAATATATTAAAAATTTTCAAAATTATGTGAATTTACGCATACGTGTAAATTGACGTAATTGTGTACATTTTTGTTCGCGTAATATTTAAATTGATTCTCTGTGTAAATATTTGTGTGCATATTTTCATGTAAATTTACAATTTTTTTTTTTACAGCGTTTATTGCGAATAAAAATCTTGATAAAAATAAATTCCGCTACACGAAATTTATACGTTTCCGGCTCACAGGATTGCCAATTTGTAACACGTGTCAAGGTTGCGCAACAATTTCTCGTAAAATTTGTATATAGTGGGAGATGAATGCGCTGACACAATATTTTCAGCATTACGCCGCGCGTTCGTTATTACTCAGCCGTCGATAGCGCGAGGGGATACAGTCGGTTTCTTAATCCCGAACTATGCGTATCCGCTGACGCGTGACTCGTCGCTAGCCCTAGAAATAACTTTGTCATGCCGCGAGACACACGAGTCATCATTGCGTTACGGGAGTTTCCTAAGCAACGCCCGTCGAGTTGCGATCCCGTCGTGCCGCAACGCTCAAGTTATTTAAAAAAACCACGTTGTCGATCGCGAGAACCTGAGGACTTATCATACGATATGTACACGTGCGCGCACACACACACACATACCGGGTGTCTCGATTCGATGCAAACATCGACAAATTGATGTCAAAACATCGACATATTTCTCTGACATTTGAAAACTCAAGTTATTATTTTCTGATAAGTCTTTCAATATCAAGCTTTTACATAAATTTCAATGAAATTTTATAAATATGAATTGAAAACTATAAAATTCAGAGAAAAATGAAATGGCCAGAAAACCACAATAGAGAGAAACTGTTGGAAAATTGTAACTGACGGAAGTTTTGGCTTGCTGTCAAACTCGCGCTGAGGGAATAATCGAGCGTGGATTCTCCGGGGCGGGTAATAGAGGCCGAGAGGCCACGCGGTAGGTCTGGGACACCCCGTGTATCCCGGTATCTTCATCGGCCGGATCGAGGTAACAACAATCGAAGCCAATCCCCCGGAAGCGATGCGAAACCCCCGTCGGATTATCGTGGCTGCTGCCGCGCGCGCTGAAAGCCGTACCCCGCACACATGCACACATGCGTAACATAAGTCCCCGATTCTCTCCACGGTAATCTATATATATATACACACACCGTACACATATATACCGGGTAGGTCTTAACCGCGGGACAAAGAAAATGTTTGGACAGTGTCACACCGCACAACAGGGGCCACCCCTTGTGAAGACGCCCTCTTTTCCTCTCCGGAGGGGAGAGATGCTTGTGTCGCTTGGTGGTGCACGAGGGTGAGAGGTGGTTCTACGGCTAAGGGTCGATTGTTGCGCGCGCGATAAAAGGCACAAACGATATAATGGCCCGATGGCGTCGCGACGCCGCGAATTTCCGTGGACGATCGCGAAGATCGAGAGAGGGAGGGTTGATGTGGATAATGTGGGGGTTCCGAGGGGTTGACCCGATCCAGTCAATATAATCGATTTGCTCTTGATCGAGTTTGGAGGACTTGGGGGCGGCCGGCTTATAAAGTAAGCGCGGTCTTAGTTCGCTCGCAGTTCGGAAATGCACGTATGTGCACGTATGTGTGTGTGATATCTGTACGTGCAAAACTGCTTAATCACTATACTCCAGACGATAGCTCAGAAATTTCATGCCCTTCTTAAGTCTAGTCGTTCGATATTGACTTTACTCGACGGATCTTTCGCTACTTCTTGCGAAGTCCGTCGTTCTCCGCTGCAGTTGATAATAAAGACGTTGTTCGCAGAGACGCGGTTTGCTGCGCAAAACCCGCCTGCGGCATAAACATATCTATCTCGAAATAGGTATTTACCACGTACGTCGTAAATGCGATTAAAGTAATCACAAGAGAAACTTTTTACGTTATTTCGCGCGCAGAAAGGTGATAGTGTAATACCTGTCGCGGAGTTGAGCAAAACAACTTTTGTTTTCAAGAAACTACTATCGATTGTTTTTAAAAAGATGCATTTTACTTGCGGCGATGACAGTCCAAGCATTTGCATTTGCAAAAATAACTGCATCGCAAAAATATTCCATTGTAAAAATTATCATAAATAAATAATCATATGTAACTCCGTTAGTATCTAATTACGAAAGAAATAATAGGTCATTAAAACAAAGAGACATGAGTGTACGAAATATTTAAAAGTAGAACAAATTAAATTCGAGTTAAATTTAATTGGGAAAAATCGATATTTACACATAATGGACGCGCTTGAGTTGCATCTCGGCAACAATCCCTTTACCTCCCTATATTAAATTAATTTAATAGAGAGGTAAAGGGAACTAGAACAATTAAAATCGTCAAATTCACGAATTTCAGAAATGCAATCTGTTTGAATAAGAAATGTTCTGACTAGTTTTATTTGTTTTTTAACAAGAAAAAAATAATTGTAAAACATTAAGAAGCTTTGTAAAGCCATTTTCTTACTTGATTATTAAATAAATTAAAAATAATAACGAATGAAACATCCTTTCACACAATCTGTCGTGTTCGCGAAGAAGAAAAACCAGGGACTTACCTTGATCTTCGGAGTCCTCCTGCTTGCAAGGATCGCCTCCGAGAGGTAGTTCGCCACCGTGGCCGGCGGTCTGGTCGCCGGGGCCGCTCGGACCGATGTTGTGGGGCCCGAGGTGAGCAGTACCACGGACGATTGGATCGTGATGATGATGGTGTGCACTACCGTCCTCGTCCTCGTCTTCCGATCCTGAGCCCATCAGCGAATCTCCGCCTGCTGACAGGTTGGACGGTTCTGCTCGTGAACGACGCGAGACACCGACCCTTTTAATAAACATTGACGAACGAACCGCCGACTTCGGAAACAAGCACAAAACTACTCGCTCCGTTCGCTTTTGCACAAAAGCAAAACAATTTATTCTCAAAACATTTTTGAGAACAAGAAATTTCTCGGTCGTCTAAGCAAACAATTTCGAAACAAAAAGTTTAATTGTGTTGCGATAAAAAATTGAACAAAATTTCTTCAAAAAATTCTGATTTCCATCGTATAAGAAGTAAGGACAAGTTTGTTGAAAAATTTGTTTATTGTTTTGTTACGATGATCTGGGATGTATTGGTTGACGCGTCGCTTCTGTGCAATTGCGAAACCGTTTCCTTCAATGTCAGCAATTCAATTTGAACACGCATGCAAGAATAAAATCGCTAAATAATCATTTGTCTAATTACATTGATAATATTGTTATTTCAATGGTACACGCGGAACTCGATCCGTAGATTTTCATTAATGTTCGATTTTTTCGCCTGGCAGAAATAAAATCACGCCGATGGGACGGGGAATGTGTTTGCGAGATGTTTGTTTCGAGTGTCCTTCAATATCGTGATCTATATTTGTGTAGAATTTATATTATATTATTTATTCGCATATAGTGTAATTAAAAATATCACCTACATGCGTATATATACGTATACATACAATATTAACGCGTTATTGTGCTGTATAATTTATCGAGAAATAATTGGTTTTCTTGAATGGAGAAATGCGTAATCGTCGTAATAAATAATCGACGCGGCACTCAAAAGCCACCAAAACACTCGTTCAAACGATTATATGTATGTACTTTTTTTTTATTGTACTTTGATTATGGAAATATTTATTTCAATCGAGACGTGACTCATTTTTAACAGTCGACTATCGCTCTCCGCGTTTAATGGCGGTAGGCTGTGCCGAAATATTTTCAACGAAGCCCGCAATACATTTTATGGCGGGAACCGCCGAAAAAATGGCGATAAGTGTCTCCGGATATTAATCGTTTCTACGAACATAATTACCGTGCTCTCGGCTCGCGCCGCTAAGCGAGAAAGAACGAGAGAAAAAGAGAGAGACAGAGAAAGAGAGAGAGAGAGAGAGAGAGAGAGGAGAGAGAGAGAGAACGATGGCCACGGATTCGACAACCGACAAATGGCCGAGCGGATGGCAGAGATTAATGTTGAAAAAGTGTCGAGCATCAAGACGGTCATGTCGTTTAATCATCGGTCCGAAATCATCCTGAAGGCTCGCGTCAACATTTCTGCCCCCAGTTGCGCGTCGAATTCATTTTCCATGCGATGATGATTTCGAGCGACGCACCTCCGTACCTGGCTCTATTGTCTTTGCCGCTTATCGGCAATCAATAGCGAAAGAATAACAAAAAAAAAAAAATAATAAAAGCATGTATAAAAATGAATAAAAACAAAACAATAAAAATACAAAGGAAAAATTGCTAAATGCATATTGATGTAAAAAAAAAAAGGACAGATTCGTGCAAATTTTATATACGGTATGCTAAAATCTTTACTTCTTATACTGTACTGTTCGCTGTGTGTCGGTCTTGTTGCTCTTTATTGTGTCAGTTTTTATTCCGTTCCCCGCTTCTCTCTTTGACGGCTAATCCGTTCCCGTGAAATCCGGCCGTATAAGCTGTCGTTCCCGAAAAATCATGAAATCCTTCCGCGAAGGCGCCTTCTCTCGAAGTGACACCTGACGCAGCTTACAAGAGAGAGAGAGAGAAAGAGAGAGAAAGAGAGATCCACAGGTATATGTGTCGCCGTTCCCTCCGACTCATGGACGCAACCGGGCGGCGTCGTTGACGACGACGCTTCGCAACGTGAAACTCATCGACGCAGCAGGCGAGTATACAGTCGGCGTGGCCGAATCGGCCCGAGACGTAAATCATTATCATCGCGGCGCTCTCTCGCAACGACGACCGTTCCAACGACATTGTCTCACGTACATGCGCGCGTCTCGGAGGCCTCCGAGAGATCCGAAGCGGGAGAAAAAGCGGCGACCGACCTCGAGAGAAGAGGAGAAGAAACGGGTTGTCGGGGCGTTTTGCGGTTTCGACGTCGGCAACGGAGCGACAAAAGGTTCGCCCCCTGCCTAACGACCTTTCGGTTTTCGTTTCACGGCTTATGTACGAGTGAGGCTCTCGTGAAACCGAGCCGACTTGCCGTCTCTCTTTCTCTCTTGCTGTGATGTCCGTCTCCCTTTTTGGCCGATGGTTCACGGTGGCATAAGCGCCGCGCTGTTTTCACAGCTTGTGTGCGCTCGTTCCCTCTCTTTTTTTCTCTCTCTCGCTCTCTTTCTCGGGGGGTAGAAACCCCCGTATAAACCTGCTCGTTCCCCTCGTCCGATCTGCTGGTTCTTTCGCGCTCTTTCTCTTTTTTTTTCTATCTCTCTCTCTCTCTCTCTCTTTTTCTTTTTTTTTTTCGACTGATCCTGACTCCGTGAAATCCGTGGCGGCGTGCGCGTTGAACTGTGACCCCCCTCGCCGGTTCGAAAAAATAAATCCCGAAATTCTCAACCACACTCGAGAAACGAAACACGGATCATCGTTCTTTGTGGAAACGCGCGTGAATTTAATGGGATATCGATATACGCGCTCGTACGTATACATAACTCGACGCGAAATAGAACCTCAATATCTGAAAACCGCCGATATTTTCAGCGATTTCGATATTTTCCAGTGGTTTTCATATTTTTCAAGGTTGAAAAGTTCGAATATATATATTTTTAACATCGATATATTATTTCCTCCGCCTCTTCCATATCCACGATGCTCTCCCCATCATCGTCATCGTCGTCGTTGAGTATATCGGCAGCTTTCCGGTTCTCCGATAACTCGGACGGCGCTGCTCCCCGACTTGGAGAGATCGGCGAAACGGCGGGGCCGCGCGCGATAATTTATGGCGGCCTCTCTTTTTCTCGCGAGAGCGGCGGATAAAATTATTTATCGACGGCGAGAACGGAAACGACGGGAGCGATCGTAAAACGCCGCGCTCTCCCGATCGGCCGTGAGAGAGAGAAAGAGAGACGGAGAGCGAAGGAGGAGTTGTGTCACGATAATACACTCTCCTCCACTTCGACCCACCTCCTCTTCCTCCTCCTCGTCGTCGTTTCTCGTCTGGACGGAGGTGCCGCGCGCGTTCCGGTGACAGCGGTGCCCGAGATCGATATAATGGAAGGCGATTGTGCGTTGACTTTGTTTGCGCACCGAGCCGGAGCCTGTACTAAATGCGATTTCGCGCGAATTTTCGTGCCCGCGATCGATCGCGCCGCGTGTGCCGCTGACAGCCACGTGCCGACGTCGAAATCGCGACGCGGCAATTCGCGCGACATATTTAGGCCGCCGTAAGCGACGACCGAAACTTTAGGTTTCTACACGCGCACGATGACATTTAAAAATGTTCACTTTTGAATAATCGTCGTTGGTTGTATGAAATACTATTTCATATTAACACAGAAGGATAGAAAAGAGAAATAACAGAGAGAAACTTCGCTCGTTTGTTAATTCGCGAGCGAAGTGGACGTAAATTTCTGAAAATTAATTACGACGTTCTAGTGAACTTGAGATCTGATGTCGCACATTTTTTAATCCCCGCGGATTATTAACGTTATTCAAACGGCATTTAGAATCGTGAAATATTGTCGTGTTTTTCAACACGGCACGATTGTGTATTACACATACCTGATATATCGGCAACGAGAGAAACCTTCGTACGTGCTTCGTAAGAGCTTTACCGATTTCTTAAAATATCGGTGACCGTCAAACCGCGCGCACCATCTCTCCTCTACATATCGACCGGTGACAGATAGATAAACGCGGAGATTATACGGAGATTCTGCATACGTATCGCTTGAATTTATATCCCGAAACGAATCGATATACGGACACTATGTATATGTATGATGTATATGTACATATAGTCGAACTGTGTGTCGAAGAAACCCCTTTTCTGTGCGCATGAAGATTACACAAGCTGGTAGTTCAATTTATTATTCACGAATAGAAGCAAATCTCTCTCGTCGTATTTTAATTTAATTCCCCGCCAGTATCGTATCGCGAGTTTGTACATCTCATTTTGACCAGCCGCGTCTCTCTTCGACGCGAGATTCAAGTGTTATTTAGAGCTTCGCGCGCTTCTAGTTATTCAGAGCACTCGTCAAATCGCGACACGCCGCGATAACGATCGCATCGGATTGTAAACGTATAATGGGGGGAGGGAGGAGAAATGATCATCGAAAAGGGTAGTTTTCTGGCGACTCACCGTGATGACCGTGCACGTGATGCGTGTCCGGCAGCGGTTTGCCCGACAGGTAGTCCTGCTTGCAGACGAACTTGTTGTCGTCCAGGACATAGAGCTCCTCGCCGGTGCTCATCTGCTTCCGACACACCAGGCAGGTGAAGCAATTCAGGTGGAAAACCTTGTCCCTCGCCTTCCTCACGAGGTCCTGCGGGCTTATCCCTTGGAGGCAGCCGCCGCATTTGGTGCCGTATCGCCTGCACGTTGAAAAGAAGGACATAAATTCAGATTTATCGCCGGGGTCGATGAAAGAAAGGATAATGAGCGCGTGGGTGTCGAAGGAGCTTGTTCTTGTGCGTTGTGAGACACCGCACAAGTGTCGCGCGCGCTGCTCGACGTAATTAGTTCCACGAAGGTGAAGTGAAAACGCGATACGATAACACACACAGTAAATAAAACCAATAACACAAACAAAATAGATAAAATTGTCGCACGCGAGCGCGCGCGAGTTAAAAAAAAAAGATAAACAAATAATTACGTAAACAGATTAATGGCGATAATAATAATCCTCCGACTTTGAATTGCAAATGAGATTGATGATAGTGAACCCGTTGATATATAAATAAAAATAAAAGCGTGCGCGGAATTCCTAATAAATTGATTGCACGCTGCGAAACATCGTCAGCTGTGTCAGCGCGAGTGTTTTAAATAATAGACTTTCCGCGCCAAAGAGGAATTTCCGCATTTCGAATTTCAGCCGGATAATTTTATCTAATTTTCCAATTTCTCTTCTTCCCGAAGTGCCGAAGTTTTCGAGCGAGAGACTCCAATGAGCACAAGGCTAATATTAAATTAAACATACAAGGGACGATACATCGGGAAAGAAAGAGAGAGAGAGAGAGAGGTTAATTACAAGTGTACCCGATTTCGCGATTTCTCGCGATTTTTTCGCGAAGAAGACCCCCCACACACCCTCCCTGCGCTCTTCATCCGCGCGTTAGTAATTTTCGTCGTGGCGCGTTAACGCGAACCCTTAATCATTATAAACCGCGAGCATCGCCGCGCACCGTGTTATTATCACACGTAAGTGGCTCTCGATAATTTTTCTCGCGCGTTGGCGCCGTGTGGTGGAGAGATCATATTTCGCGGCTCGATAACAGACCTTCTCTCGAACATACGAGGTGCGAGATCCTTTTTAATTCGCAATTTTCTCCGCGATGTTTTTGAAAAAGCCCCGCGTACGCGCGTACCGCTCGGTGTTATTTTTACATCATCTTCGGGAAACCATAACCGAGACACTTTGCCGAATCGCTATTACGGTATAAACGTGTATCCCCTCCTCCCCGGACTACCGGAGTTAATCGCGAACGATGCGGTGCTCTCATCATCGATTGTGAAAGTTTATACAAGTTCTGCTTGTAACTCAGTCGGGCCGCAAACGCCGATGAAAGAAATACGACGCTCTTAAAGAGACGGCGGTTTAATGTCCCGATCCCGGCATAAAGAGAGCCGGGAACCTCTCTCGGGGTCCTACCGTGTCGTAAAAACGCGCCGCGCGGCTTCGCCCGACAATTCTTTTTCGTTCCTGCCGAATCGTTAAGCGTTTTGATTTTTTTTTCACCGCAGCCCCGCCGACGATCTCTCTCGTTAAACGTTCTCTCTCCTAGTTTGTCGTTGTTGCGTCATTGCGAAATCGTAAATGTGCGACTAAATAGAAGAACCCCCCCATCGTAAACACGAGGTACGAATTTTTCACACACTGCTCCGTTGAAAAAGGCGCGCGCAAAGATACCTACTCGAAAATGTATCGAACATGTTCTCTCGGATATCTCGGATATTGTCTCTTATCGCGATTGGTTCTTTTTGCGTAGCGAGGTCAGGTTCGTTTTTAAAACATGGACAAATCGCTGGAGTCAGAATTGCGGTAGGTCAGGGATTCGGTTAGATCAGATTAAAAAAATACTTTTACCATATTGAAAAGGATCAAAAAACGTTTTCCCTGCTTTCTCACGAATTATATTAGCGTGCGTGTTCGATATACAAATTGAAAAAAACTTCACCGCGCGCGTAGTTTTCTTTTTCAATTTATGTATTGAAAAAAACTTACTACACACACGCGGTACAATTAAAATATATAATTGTCTAAAAGTATAAATCTCTAAAATGTGAAAATTAAAACTCGCACAACATAATGTTAATATAATTATAAAATTGCAAAATTATTAAACTATAAAATGTGTCAAAATTATGTATTAAATCGTATAAAATAATTTTGAAAAAAAATTATAAAAATTCAATTAAGAGAGAGATTAGATTGAAAAAGAAATGATTTTTTTTTTACATAAAAGTAAAATATAGACAAATAACCGGTTGGAATTTCGCAAGTCTTCCGGCTTGGCGTAATATTTGATGAACCGGAACAATCGTGAGGCCAATATATCTCTCTGTGACTGTATCATTACAGAAGCTACACTCTTCTAAGTGGCAATCCCGATCGATCTAACTATAGCAATCACGCAATTAATTATAGCAATTAGCCGCGGCCCTTAGGGCTGGCGTGTTCCGATGAGCGGACGTCTCAATCGATCCCCACTTCGCCGTCGTTTCGCCAATAATAAACAAGTTAAACGCGAATGGCAGAGAGACCGCCGGAAGAGATCACGAAATCAGTCGGTTGTTAGCAATTCGGTAAAGTGACACTTACTTTAGTTTTTTCTGTGCAACCCATACACACACTGCGCTGTCATTAACGGCGCCATTTGAACAGCACTATTATTTCTCGAACATAAACATTTTAACTTTGATAGTGTAATTTTCGAGAGAGAAAATGTGTATTTATTTTGCACTGGTAAATAAATTTCTATTATTATTCACAATTATACACAATATATACATATCTATTATTATACACAATTGCGATTTTATCTTTTACACATTTTTTCCAACAAATTCTGCAAATATTTGCAAATATTCGCAGAAGCGAATTCCGAGCGGCAAAATTATTTAGTACATTAATGTCACAATAACAATAATAACAATATTAACGTTATAATCGTCTATATATTTTGCTACGTTTAATTACAATTTTGTTGTTTTTTTAAACAAGCGAGTGCTAATATTTCTCGAAATAAAACTTTTTATTTGAGCGCGTTTTGCCGCGCACGCGAGTGGTCATTAAAAACTACGAAGTCCTCGCGCGCGTAAAGCGCGCGTACAGAAAATAGGAAACGCAATGTCGGAAAGTCGTGACCAGGATTCGCTGCTTGAGAATCATTGTTAGCGTAATTGTTCTCGCGTTGTACCTGATAGTCGCAACACATTCGCGTGCGTTGGAGGTGTGTGTGCGTGTGTGCGCGCATATCGACGCGCGCACAATAAATCCCGCGGAATCTCTCGCCTATTGACATGCTGTCGTATCAAGCGACCCAATTCGCCGCACTTTATTACCGCGGACACTCGACACACCGACGTCTTCGGCGACGCGCCATGTGAAAACCCCGCCGTTATCAAGAAAAACACAAGGAAACCCTCTCGCGCGCGCGCGCGCGTTACCGCGCGCCATCAGAAAGGTTCTCTGTATATTTTGCGCAAGGCAGTTAATCAATATCAACAAATTCATGAACCGCGTGAATAGTTAAAGCTCCGCAAACCATCGTAATTGTTACCTCGTTTAACGCGGCCGTTAATCCTCAGACGCGCCGTTCAATTTTCGCCTCTTTCAAAAGTTGCGACACGTAATTTAAATTAATCGCAGAGCGTAAGTGTACACACGAGTAACTATTGTACAAGCCGCGCGATGTAAAATGCAATAACAATACTAGTAGCAATACAACTGGGTGTAAAAAAAAAAAAAATTGTATTGGATAAAAAGAAATGTGACGTGTATGTTACGTGTGCGTTGTGCACAGGTGTCGATTCATTTTTCATAAAAAATTAAATACTTCAGGCGACACATTCGATGTGTGTACGTGTGTGAGAAATATCTTGCAAATACGACGAAACAAACGAATAGAGTCGGAACATTTCGCAAACGTTCCATCGATTGTGTTGCGCTAAACGAGCGCATTTTATTGGAGTCACTTGTCTTTTTTTTTTAATTCTCGAGAATGATCATGTTATTATCGGAAAAAGTCACTTGGCTCTAATGAATTTTCCCGCAGAATTCGTTTCGATGTTAATTAGCATTAGCGACTCGACACCATCGCCATTCGACGAACTGATAGATCACAAACACGCGTGAAGCCATTGACGGATCGGGTAATTATTCATCGCGCGCGCCCAAGAAGAACTCAAAGCGCGCTGCTTCTTTCTGAAGCTGCGGCACGGCTTCTCTTCGGACATGCCTCGCGCACAAACCGCGCAAGAGACCGTTCCATCGCGCGCGATGTTTCCCACCGCAAGCCTTTATATTCGCCTCTGAAATATTTTACGTCTCGCGGTTGACGTGCGTCTCTCCGCGAAAACGCGGAGAGAACCAGAGAGAGAGAGACGGCCGCGCGCGGAAAACGCGCGCGTCGTTGTATTTCAAAAGAGCATGTACTACACGGCATGCACACTCTTTCTCGTCTATCCTAGGTGGAGTTCCCGGTTGCACACACACCGCACACGAGCGGTGAATATCAAAGGTTGCTCGCACGCGCGTCTCTGCGCAATACATTGTATTCGCGTACCGCGTGCATGCCCACATCCGTGGCTTCGCGCCGTCCATCGCGCGGCTCCGACTCTCTCCTCGTAGGCGAGACAGATCTCCGGTGTGTAAAAAAGTACGCACGTCTCGAAAGTCTTTCCCCTTTCGAGAAATGAATGTACGCTCAAATAAATGAAATATATATAAATGCGAGTGCGAGGAAAAATTGCAAATCTTTCGATCTCGCTCGAGTCAAAGATATTATAAGGGAATTGTCTCAATGACCGCATCACTGATCGGACATTTATTGAAGACGTGATTATAAGACGAAGTATTTATGCGTGTTGTGTTATTTTTAATATTTTTAATATTTACATATTTAATAATTATTTTTTTAATCAATGTCATTGGCGCACATTCGATCATTTGAAACAGTAACCTCATATCGCGCAACACGAACGAAACTCGTAGACAGGTATTATAAAAAAAATTTTATTTGCAAAATAAGAGATATGGGTATCGCGAGTTAAAGTGGAATCACGTTGCGAAAACAAATGCAAAACAAAGTACACCGGAGTGATTGACATTATCGCCGATATAACTTTGCGGGGGACGAATATTTTTGCAACC